TCTGGTTTGTCATTTCCGTCTGTCTATTAGTTTGAGGATGATAAGCTGAAGAGAAGCGTAGCTCGATCTCTAATGCCTCACACAGAGCCTTCCAGAATTTAGATGTGAACTGCACTCCTCGGTCAGACACAATATTCCGAGGAACGCCATGTAGTCTTACGATTTCTTTGAAAGCAGAGGCAGTTTCTGTGGCAGAAGGAGTCCCTTTCAAGGGGATGAAATAAGCCATTTTAGACAGTCGATCGACTACTACAAAAATAGTGGTGAAGTTTTCAGATGGGGGCAGTTCGACAATAAAATCCATAGAGATCATACTCCAAGGCTTTTCCGGTATAGGCAGAGATTCTAACAGGCCCCAGGTCTTGCTTTTATCAGATTTGTTCCTCAGGCAGATGGTGCAAGATCTCACATAGTCCTGGCAATGCTTCACTGCGTTTGGCCACCAGAAGGAGCAAGAGACCAGATCTGAAGTCTTATGAATTCGAAAGTGCCCTGCTAAAGGATGGTCATGACATCTCCGAAGAACAAGGGTTCAAAGTTCTTCAGGCACGAAGATTTGATCCTTGTGAAAGTACAAACCGTCTTTTAGTTGTAGATGAATATTTATGGAGGTGGATAGTTATCCACAACTTCCCTGATCTGCGTTAGAAGGTCTGTCTGAAGGAGTAAGAAGTTTTTGGCAGGTGAGATCGTATCGGGTTCAGGCTGCTCAATTGGGTTGGGAAACATACGGGACAGAGCATCAGGTTCTCCATTTTTAGATCCTGGATGGTACATCAGATGGAAAACGAAGCGAGAAAAGAATAGTGCGCATCTTGCTTGTTGAGTTCTGAGGCGCTTAGCCGTTTTCAGATACTCCAAGTTCTTATGGTCGGTATAGATAAGAATAGGATGGGATGCCCCTTCTGGTAGGTAATGCCACTCTTCCAATGCTGCCTTGATGGCTAATAGCTCTGTCCCCCACATCATAGTTCCTTTCTGAGATACTCAATTTCCAGGAGAAAAAAGCGACGGGGTAAAGAAGGGATTTGAGCTCTCTGTCTTTGCGACAATATGGCATCTACCGCATTTTCAGATGCGTCCACCTCAAGGACGAAGACTAAAGTAGGGTGTGGGTGCTTCAGGATGGGTGCGGATGTGAACATGGTTTTCAGTTGTTCAAAGGCTGTTTGAACCTCAGGAGTCCACTTGAAGGGAAACATGCTGCCTGGTGAGCTGTGTCACCGGCGCGGTGTGATTCCCGAGAAATTCTTGATGAATTTTCTATAAAAATTTTGCAAATCCAACAAAGCGTTGCACTGCTTTCCTGTCACCTGGGATGGGCCATTCTAAGACAACGGACAGCTTTTGGGGATCCATAGAGATGCCCTCAGGAGTGATCACAAGACCGAGAAACTGGATGGATTGTCTCTCGAATTCACACTTCTCTGCTTTTGCATAGAGATGATGTTAGCGTAGACAATTCAGAGTTTTCTTTACATGCTCCCGGTGATTTTCCATGGAACTAGAGAATACCAGGATGTCATCCAGGTAAACGATTAGGAATAGATCTAGGTAGTCCTGAAATATATCATTTACCAGGTGCTGGAAAGTTGCGGGGGGATTACAGAGCCCAAAAGGCATCACCAGATATTCAAAGTGCCCGAACCAGGTTCGGAAGGCTGTCTTCCATTCGTCACCTTCCCGGATTCTTACTAAGTTGTAAGCTCCCCTCAGATCCAACTTGGAGAAAAAGCGTGCTCCTCGTAGCCTTTGGAATAGTTCAGGAATTAGCGGCAGGGGATAACGGTTCTTGACTGTTATTTTGTTTAAATCTCGGTAGTCTACACAGGGTCTCAGGGTGTGTGGTCCTTTTTTTCAACAAAGAAGATACTGGCTTCTGCTGGTGATGTAGAGGGCCGGATGAACCCTTTTTCTAAACTTTCATCTATGTACCCCCGGAGGGTCTCTAATTCAACTTCAGACAAGGGGTAAATCCTCCTGAATGGAATCTCGGTGCTGGGCAGGAGCTCAATTGGACAGTCATAAGGACGGTGAGGAGGAAGGGTGTTGGCACTCTTCTTATTGAACACATCCAAGTACTCATGATATGCCACCGGAATGAGTTTCATGGTCTCCGGCTCCGAGTGGATACTGAGGAGAGGGGTTGTCATTCTTGCCCCCTTTGGGGTACAATGGATCAGGCAATATTCAGAGGGGAAGGAGACCTCTCCAGACAACCAATTGATGGTTGGATTATGTGCTTTTAGCCAAGGCATGTGTTAGGAATGGACTGGCCAGCAATGGTGGGACTCACCTGCCTTTTGATCTGCAGTACCAGGGCTGGCCAGCGGGTGCTCCCAGCAATCAGAGACTCAACCTTTCAGCCAGCTAACACCTGGAACTGATGATGCTGGGGTATTTAAGGGATGGCCAGACTTGCAGACTCTGCCTTGGTGTTGTGTTTCCATTCCTCTGTCTGACCCTCTGTACTATGCTGCTTGCTACCTGCTGAACCTGGCCTGTGACCCCGACTATTCTCCGCTTGCTCCCCCTGTACCTACCTGCCCAATTGATATTGACCCGGCCTGCCTGACGACGCTTGCTTGTATATACTGTTATCTGTGGGTGGTTTGGTTTGGTTTGTTTGCACTGTATTATGTTTTAGTATTGCACTGCGTTTATGTTTGTACTGTTAGTGTTAATAAATTATATTGTTTATAACATATCTGAGGTCTGCGTTTCCCTGCTTCAGTCACACACCTCTGGTCATACCTGGGAGCCCTGACATTACACCAAGGCCAATCCTGACCAGAAGTGGCTGCACAGGGAAGCCATCTTGGCTTGTTGATGGGAAGGATGGATCTAGATGAGGTTGAGTATTTATCTCTGCTAGTGCTTGATGACAGAGAGTATGCTTATCAGACTCTGAAGGAGTATACCCGGGATGAACTGCTAGAATGTATACGGCTCGCTCATGTTCTAGTAGATCAGGGCACAGTTTTCTCTATGGTGCAGCCATTGATTCAGGTTTGTGTTGAGTTGGTTTCATCTGGTTTCCCCGAATGCAGGGATGAATTTTTGCCACCATTTAGTGCAGACCAGGTAGAGTCCCTGGTGTGGGTTATTAGAGGATGATGTGGGTTACTTTCTGGAGCGTTATTCCACATGTTCACCACAGACACTGAGAGATTGTATAAACGCAGTGCAGTCATTGACCAGACAGACTTTGTGTAAACTCAGCTTTGTTCAACCCCTACTGCAGACATGGACAGATTTGTTGCACCCAGCCTCAGTCAGCTTACAAAGACCCAGTCCTGCTTCTAACTCTACTCCTGTATTCCCACCAGCTCCTCCAGTTACAGCCCAGTATACTTGGCTATCTACCGCATGTCAGTACCCTGTTCCCACTCGCTGCACCTATCCTGCCTTTAACCCTGTAAAAAAGCCCTCTGTAGCAACTGCTCCCTCTCCTGTTCCATCCTCCAGTTCTTCTCTGTCTCCAGCTGCTCCATTCGTTTGCAGACCTGCGTTTACTTGCAGTGCTCCAGTAGTTAAAACCAGAAAAAAGCGAAAATTCTTTCCAACCAATACCATCCTGCCAGTATCCAAACCGGTGAGCCTGCCTTCCGTGGTTCAGACTGATGCCTGTACGCAGCCTGAAGCCTCTACTCGGCCTGAAGCCTCTACGCGCCTGAAGCCTCTGAAGCCTCTACTGAAGCCTCTCCTCGGCCTGAAGCCTCTACTCGGCCTGAAGCCTCTCCTCAGCCTGAAGCCTCTACTCGGCCTGATGCCTGTACTCGGCCTGATGCCTGTACTCGGCCTGATGCCTGTACTCGCCTGAAGCCTCTACGCGGCCTGAAGCCTCTCCTCAGCCTGAAGCCTGAAGCCTCTCGCCCTGAAGCCTCTACGCGCCTGATGCCTGTACTCGGCCTATGCCTCTACTCGGCCTGATGCCTCCTACTCGGCCTGAAGCCTCTACTCGGCCTGAAGCCTCTACTCGGCCTGAAGCCTCTACTCGGCCTGATGCCTGATGCCTACTCGGCCTGATGCCTCTACTCGCCTGATGCCTGCATTCAGCCTGATGCCGCTACTCAGCAGGATGAACTGATCCAGCCCGACGATCCTATTAGGCCAGTTGACTCGATGCCCGCTGTTGATCCAGATGATCCGGTACCTGATCCAGTGCCCGCTGTCGTGCCAATTGACTCAGAGCCCGCTGTCATACCTGGTGACCCGGTGCCCACTGCCTTGCCAGATGACGCGGTGCCCGCTGGCAAGCCAAATGACCTGATGCCTGGTGACCCAGTGCCCGCTGTCATACCTGGTGACCCGATGCCCGCTGTCGAGCCAGACGATCCAATGCCTGGTGACGCGGTGCCCACTGCCTTGCCAGATGACCTGATGCCTGGCGACCCAGTGCCCGCTGTCATACCTGGTGACCCGATGCCCCCTGTCGAGCCAGACAATCCGGTACCTGATGCCCCGGTGCTCACTGTCGTGCCTGTTGACTCGGAGCCCACTGCCTTGCCAGATGACGCGGTGCCCGCTGTCGAGCCAAATGACCTGATGCCTGGTGACCCAGTGCCCGCTGTCCAGTCAGACGATCCAATGTCTGACCCAGTGCCCGCGGTCATACCAGTTGACTCGGAGCCCACTGCCTTGCCAGATGACGCGGTGCCCGCTGACAAGCCAAATGACCTGATGCCTGGTGACCCAGTGCCCGCTGTCATACCTGGTGACCCGATGCCCGCTGTCGAGCCAGACAATCCGGTACCTGATGCCCCGGTGCTCACTGTCGTGCCTGTTGACTCGGAGCCCACTGCCTTGCCAGATGACGCGGTGCCCGCTGTCGAGCCAAATGACCTGATGCCTGGTGACCCAGTGCCCGCTGTCCAGTCAGACGATCCAATGTCTGACCCAGTGCCCGCGGTCATACCAGTTGACTCGGAGCCCACTGCCTTGCCAGATGACGCGGTGCCCGCTGTCGAGCCCAAATGACCTGATGCCTGGTGACCCGATGCCCGCTGTCCAGCCAGACGATCCAATGTCTGACCCAGTGCCAGCGGTCATCCCAGTTGACTCGGAGCCCACTGTTGTGCCTGGTGACTCGGTGCCCGCCCCGCCTGGGGGCCGCCCGCCTGGGGGCCCGAGACCTGTCGCTCCGCCTGGGGGTCCGGCACCTGCCACTCCCGCCTGAGGGCCCGAGACCTGTCGCTCCATCTGGGGGTCCGGCGCCCCCGCCGCTCCGCCCTGAGGGCCCGAGACCTGTCGCTCCACCTGGGGGGTCCGGCGCCCGCCGCTCCGCCTGAGGGCCCGAGACCTGTCGCTCCACCTGGGGGTCCGGCGCCCGCCGCTCCCGCCTGAGGGCCCGAGACCTGTCGCTCCTCCTGGGGGTCCGGCGCCCCGCCGCTCCGCCTGAGGGCCCGAGACCTGTCGCTCCACCTGGGGGGGTCCGGCGCCCGCCGCCGCTCCGCCTGAGGGCCCGAGACCTGTCGCTCCAGCTGGGGGTCCGGCGCCCGCCGCTCCGCCTGAGGGCCCGAGACCTATCGCTCCATCTGGGGGTCCGGCGCCCGCCGCTCCGCCTGAGGGCCCGAGACCTGTCGCTCCGCCTGGGGGTCCGGCGCCCGCCGCTCCGCCTGGGGGCCCGAGACCTGTCGCTCCCGCCTGGGGGTCCGGCGCCCGCCGCTCCGCCTGAGGGCCCGAGACCTGTCGCTCCAGCTGGGGGTCCGGCGCCCGCCGCTCCGCCTGAGGGGCCCGAGACCTATCGCTCCATCTGGGGGTCCGGCGCCCCGCCGCTCCGCCTGAGGGCCCGAGACCTGTCGCTCCGCCTGGGGGTCCGGCGCCCGCCGCCCGCCTGGGGGCCCGATGCCTGTCGCCCCGCCTGGGGGCCCGATGCCTGTCGCCCCCCTGGGGGCCCGATGCCTGTCGCCCCCCTGCCTGGGGGCCCGGGCCCGATGCCCCGCCCCGCCTGGGGGCCCGATGCCTGTCGCCCCGCCTGGGGGCCCGGTGCCTGCTGCTCCGCCCGGGGGCCCGGTGCCTGCTCGCCCCGCCGGGGGCCCGGTGCCTGCCCCCGCCTGGGGGCCCGGTGCCTGCTGCCCCGCCCGGGGGCCCGGTGCCTGCTGCCCGCCCGGGGGGCCCGGTGCCTGCTGCCCCGCCCGGGGGCCTGTGCCCCGGGGGGCCCGGTGCTGCCCCGCCCCCGGGGCCCGGTGCCTGCTGCCCCGCCCGGGGGCCCGGTGCCTGCTGCTCCGCCCCGGGGCCCGGTGCCTGCTGCCCCGCCCGGGGGCCCGGTGCCTGCTGCGCCCCGCCCGGGGGCCCGGTGCCTGCTGCCCCGCCCGGGGGCCCGGTGCCTGCTGCCCCGCCCGGGGGCCCGGTGCCTGCTGCCCCGCCCCGGGGGGGCCGGTGCCTGCTGCCCCGCCCGGGGGCCCGGTGCCTGCTGCCCCGCCCGGGGCCCGGTGCCTGCCGCCCCGCCCGGGGGCCCGGGTGCCTGCCGCCCCCGGGGGGCCCGGTGCCTGCCGCCCCGCCCGGGGGCCCGGTGCCTGCCGCCCCGCCCGGGGGCCCGGTGCCTGCCGCCCCGCCCGGGGGCCCGGTGCCTGCCGCTGCCGCCTGGTGGCCCCGCTGCCTGCTGCTTCGCCTGGTAATCCCGATGTGCCTCTGCCCGGAGTCCTGCCCGATGTGCCTCTGCCCGGAATCCTGCCCGATGTGCCTCTGCCCGGAGTCCTGCCCGATGTGCCTCTGCCCGGAGTCCTGCCCGATGTGCCTCTGCCCGGAGTGCCTCTGCCCGGAGTCCTGCCCGATGTGCCTCTGCCCGGAGTCCTGCCCGATGTGCCTCTGCCCGATGTGCCCGGTGCCTCTGCTCGATGTGCCTCTGCTCGATGTGCCTCTGCCCGGAGTCCAGCCCGGTGTGCCGCTGCCCGGAGTCCTGCCCGGTGTGCCAGTCTTTGATATCCCGCCAGTTGCCAGACCCGGGCGGTGGAACATTTTGCCCAGCTAGGACTGTTTGGAGCGTCCTGAGGCCGCTCCTTGAGGGGGGGGTACTGTTAGGAATGGACTGGCCAGCAATGGTGGGACTCACCTGCCTTTTGATCTGCAGTACCAGGGCTGGCCAGCGGGTGCTCCCAGCAATCAGAGACTCAACCTTTCAGCCAGCTAACACCTGGAACTGATGATGCTGGGGTATTTAAGGGATGGCCAGACTTGCAGACTCTGCCTTGGTGTTGTGTTTGTCCTGGGCCCTGTATCTGTCCTGCATCCTGTTTCTGTTCCTTTGCTGACTTCTCCTGCTCTGATCCTGGCTTGTGACCCTGACCATTCCTCTGTCTGACCCTCTGTACTATGCTGCTTGCTACCTGCTGAACCTGGCCTGTGACCCCGACTATTCTCCGCTTGCTCCCCCTGTACCTACCTGCCCAATTGATATTGACCCGGCCTGCCTGACGACGCTTGCTTGTATATACTGTTATCTGTGGGTGGTTTGGTTTGGTTTGTTTGCACTGTATTATGTTTTAGTATTGCACTGCGTTTATGTTTGTACTGTTAGTGTTAATAAATTATATTGTTTATAACATATCTGAGGTCTGCGTTTCCCTGCTTCAGTCACACACCTCTGTGGACAGGTGGCCACGAAATGACCTGCATCGCCACAGTAGAGACAGAGACTGGATTTCTGTCGATGAAGACGTTCTGCTGTGGCGAGCGGTGGTCTCCAAAAGCTCTAGTGGAATTAACGGGCCTTTCTGATGGAGCAGTACTTGTAGAGGGCCCAACTTCCGAGCATATCAGAATCCTCCCGTTAGTCCTTTCTTCCTGTCTTTCCCGAATCCTACGGTCGATATGGATTGATAGGTCTATCAGACTCTCCAATCTGGTCGGTACCCCCACTCGGGCCAGCTCATTCTTTAGGATATCTGAAAGACCCAGACAGAACTGATAGCGGAGAGCCGACTCGTTCCACAGAGTATCCGAACTCCAGATGCGGAAATCGGCAACATATTCTTCTACGGGCCTCTGCCCTTGCTGCAGCTTATTAAGCATAGATTCCACGGTTTGCCGCCGGAAGGGGTCAGCATAGATCTGAGCCATTGCTGTGAAAAAGGAGTCCACTAAGGTTAGGATCGGATCTTGTCGTTCACGGAGATTGAATGCCCAGGACTGGGGTAATTTCTGAGAAGGGAGATGATAAATCCCACCTTGATATTTGATGAAGAGAAGGTCCTGGGAAGCAACGAGAAGTACAACTCGCAGGAATTCCGAAAGGTCCTGAACTTCCGGCCGTCTCCAGAAAAGAACTCAGGTGTAGGCATCCGGGGTTCCGGAGGGGCAGAATTTTCGAGGTTCATACTGGCCTCTGTCTGAGTAGCTGTATCAGAGGTTGCCGTGAGGTCTGTGTCTGTGCGGGCCTTAGAGTCGGCTAGCAATTTATTTTCCAGGTGTTCCAAGTCCTTCTGCAGACCATGTATCACGTGGAACAAGGTAGTGACTGATTGGTGGATGTCCCCCAGTCGAGAGGCCTCCCTTTCAGACTCCATCAATGGCTGACTGGTACTGTCATGTACCTGATGGGAGACTGAGTTGACGAGGTCAGCCTCACTTGTGTCCCTAGCCCTGACCCCACTGAGGTTGGAACAAGGGGAGTCTAGGGACCAGGGGGACAAGAGCGCCAGGAGTTGTTGCTTGTGGCTCTTGCAGATGATGGCCTTGGTAGTCTGAGTATCCACTGATTTAGGGCACAGTAGCAATAGAGCAGGCAGGTTCTGTGACATCATTGGTGGGGTCACACAAGTGATATCACCGAGTGGCCACGCCCCTTACATATTTAAGAACTGTCAAACTACCAGCGCAAGCAGAGGCTGGAAGCCATTCTTGTGTGCGAAACATTTTTTTTTCTTTATTTTTTTTCATGTCGGTGGCAGCGGCGGGCATCGTGATTGACGTTGTATCTACTGCAGGGGACATTCTTTGAGTTTTTTATTTTAATAAAGGACTTGTCAAAGATCATGTCCTGTCTTTTTTTTCACACTACACTTTTTGTTTTTTGTGAATGTGTAGGGGTACCATGTACCCCATACTCATTCACATAGGGGGTGCGGGATCTGGGGCCCCCTTTGTTAAAGGGGGCTTGCAGATTCCAATAAGCCCTCTGCCTGCAGACCCCTGCAACCACAGCCCAGGGCTATGGGGAAGAGGCCCTTGTCTCCATCAACTTTTGGTGCTTTGTGGGGGGGGGGGGGGGACCTGCCGGGCTGCATTCTCGGATAAGGGTCGGGTATGGATTTTTTTTTTTTCTACAAAATTTGGCGTGGGAGTTCTACTCAAAATCCATACCAGTCCTGAAGGACTTGGTATGGATAGGAAGGGGGACCCCACGTTGTTTTTTTTATTTATTATGGTGGTGGTTTTTAAATGTAATTAGCACTTTTTTTTCTTCACTATAGCTCAGAAATTCAGCTGCCTCTTTCCCCCAGCTAAAAGGTAAAAGAAACAATGTTTACTTTTAGTTTGTTTCCCGAGATAAAGGAAGCAAAGTTTCCTGTAACTCTGGGGAAAGTGACAGCTAATCTTGTGAGCTATAGTGAAGAAAAAAAAAGCTGGCAATTGCATTTAAAATAAACCCTGACATACACTTCATATTGCAAAAAAAATTAGTAAAAAAATGCGTAAACCGAGGCATTATCTTCAATCGTTAACCAAAAATTACGTTACCCGAGGCATACGTAAACCGAGAAATATATAAACATATGAAACAAAACGAGCACAAGGTATAAAGCTGCTACCCTCTGAAAAGTCTGATAAAATAGGGATGCAGCGCTAAAAAGTGAAGATATGTGCAAGCACCTATAAGCGTAAAGGTGAAAAACACGTGAATCGTCCAAATGTGACATAAACACAGTAAATGCAATCCAATACTAAATTTATTATAGTCATGTGACTATGGTGATGACTATAAAGTCCTCAGAAGTGATAATCCAAATCCGTGAATTCTGTGACTTGAGTGCTAACAGAATGGTAATATAAATGCATTAACTAGAAGCGCAATCTTTGTGCACATTAGCGTAAATGGTATAACCCGTCATGGTCATCTGGATGTGGACAGGACCAATGCAATCATCTGGCACACATCAGCATACAAGTAGATTAGCGGATCCTACACACACTCTCCAAGGACATTTCCTTACATGTACATTACCAAATGGACAGGGACCCTCAAGCCATCCACCCTGGGAGGCTCGTTGAATGACAAGCCAAGAAGGTATTTGATAGTGCAGTATTTTTATTAATAAAGTGGGTAATTCATGTAGATAAAAAGCACTCACATCTGGCTGCAAAAAGCAAATATCAAAATTTCCAAAGATGGCTACTGGGCTTCCTGACGGCCTCGGCGGCGTGACATATACAGCTGTATAGTTATGGTACAAAAAACACTAAAAACATTATTCCAAACAAATTCCTGTTCAATCTAAATGATAAAACTGTACTGAGTTAATAAATAAAGCTGTGTGTGTAATTGAGGTCTTGGGGTTTATTCATATGGGTGCTGTGATATGTATGGTTTGTGAACACTGCAAGTCCTAATTAACAGGCATATGGGTGTAGGTGTACAGCCCTGAACACAGACAGTGAGCATTCAGGGCCACTTCCCCACACCTGTCAGATGAAAACCTGTGTTCATACAGCTGCTGTGTCCCTATAGTGTACCAGGTGGCTCAAGTCACATGAACAACCCACTCATTCATGCTGTGCAGGCCGGAGGACCTGTGTGAATGTGGCATTTATTACTTTTTTTTCCTCAGACCTTTAATTTCAATGGGCTGCCTAACATGTGGGAAAATGCAAAAATACTGCAGGCATATTATTTTAAAAGTGTGTTGCACCTAACCGCACAGTAGTGTGGTGCCATGCGTTTTGGTGGCTGTGAATGCATCTGTGTTTACTAGACGCGTCGAAGTGCAATCAAGTTTTCATCATGGTACCTGCACACATCTGCAAAGGGCATTGTATTTCTTTGCTGTGCAGGAAAATGCGTGTTCTTGCATGCATTTCTGCACCACAAATGGTGTGAATAAGTCCTAAGGGCCAGTTCACACTATAGAAACACAGTCTAGATAGATGTGTTCCAGATGCGTTTTTGCATGCACTTTTTGATGTATGTTTAGCGTGTTCCAGTGCATTTTGAATGCGTTTTTGATGTGTTCCAGTACATTTTTTTTTATGCCTTCCAGTTAATTTTTCTTCAATTTAGTTAGGGATATGTGCATTTTAGTGCGTTCCAGGGTGTTTTACCGCGTTCCAGTACAGTTCTATGCATAAACAATGCAGCCTGTTAGACTCTTTTTGCAGCATCTGCAACGCACTGGAACTGCAAGCACTGATGTGAACTATAACATTGACAACCATATAACCTTCTTTCTGTGCGTTTTGGATGCAGAAAAAGCAACTGAAACACATGTAGCGTGAACTGGCCCTAAAGGTTATTATAGGTAAGGGAATGGGACTGACCAGGAATTGTTAATTCAATCAGACTAGTGGTGAGATATAATGAGGAATCTTATAATAATGCTAGATCTGAGCTGTAGGTGAT